GCCACAAATGAAGCACTGGGAGTGCTACGATTACTAACAACAGAATTATAAGTTTTCACAACTTGTGGCACTAAAAGCAGAACAAGTTCTTCGGATAAAGTCAGGAAACAGTATCGAAAGCCTATTATCGTAGGAAGAGGCAAGAATCAGGGTGCTGAGTTGGTTGTGACATGCCGATAAACTTATCACTTGGTTCCCATTTCAGTTCTGTCTTCGTTGAGCTTGTGAACTTTGATTTAGATCGCTTCCATTCGTAAATATTGGCCACAACAGCAAGTGATTGTCTATGATATCGGTCTTGGCAAAGAAAATCTGGAATTTGTAAGACAATTGTGCAATATTATTTATCGCTACTTTGATTTTTCGGCGTATCCAACATATGTTCAGGACCTTAAACAATACCGATGGAAGCCGCTTGTGATTGCTGTGAGTAAAAATTTTCATGGCAGCCAAAACTGCTAGTTTCCTATCAATTTCTCCCAAAAATCATATTTATATACATAAACTTTATCTAGTTTATTTATATGTATTTGCAAATGTATACATTTGAAAAATTTCTGCTAGAATTTACTTAAGTGCGGATTGTTTCTATTTAATCCAAACATGTGCATTTGACGCGCGACTCAGCTGCAGATGTCTGGTTTCGTGAACTTCCACATACCTCTTTATGCGTTTTTGCTGCTTAGCGTTGTAGCGCAGCTACAGTGAGCAAAAACACATATTGTCGAGAGGTCGTCCGTGTGTGTGTGTTCGAAAGCGAGTGAACTTTGTCACTTACTTTCATTTCAGCAACCAGAAAAGCTGGGGGGCTGAAATTTTGGATATATATTCCTACCCCTATACCATCCATTTTAAAATTTTCGCTCATACACGCTTAGGCCCCGCATACGAATCCCCGAAAGAAATATGCAGATTTCTTTGACAGAAAGAGACTTCACAAACCATGCAAGGTACAAAGCCAGAATTTTGCAGGGACATTCTCTGTGTATTTGCGAGCTAAAGATTTCCGATTGAGCTGTTGCACGTATTGGTGCAGCGCATACGATCATGTCAAATTTTGCAAATTGATACTGTGCTAACCCGAAAATTTGCCGTTTTCCGGAAAACAGTGGCTGAAAATTTGCTAGCATATTTATCACCCATACGGGAAATCGCATGCCTAAAGTACCGATTTGCACTTGCGCCACGACTTAAGGTACTTCAAAGATATTTGTAGCGAAGTGGCTATTGCGCTTACCGGATAAGGTGCAAGACTTAAAACTAGCTGGGATGTTCTACTTTCAAGTGTGATATTAATTCGATTGGAGGTGAAATTTCCTGCAGGAGGGCATGAGAAATGCTCAATTTTACCAAGAAATTAGAAATGAGTGCATTTTGCACCGAACAACCGCTCTCAACCTCTTGCAACATGTAAATAAAGTCATATTTGGACTTTTTGACGAACGACCACTCTACCAACACTTCCACTTTTCGGTGATCTGGAAATTTGTATTTTTTCGAAGAGCGAGCATTTATCAAAAAAACGATCGGGCTTCATATAAAAACCTGATATTTATGTACCTGAAGGTCCACACTGTCCTGTAATGTAATATCTTCGTCCCAACCGACGCCCTTTCCCTTGCATAACGGAAGAGGACAAAAAAGGGTCAGTTGGAATTCAAGTGTTAAGGTACAACGTAGGGATCATTTCTGCTATTAGCAATTTGAAAGTTGAATGTAAAAACGCCTGATCACACCGGCGAACCTGTTGCACTGCAGCCTGGGTTTCTAAAGAACGGTGCTTCTTTCTTGTACATATCCTTTATTTTTCTGCTACCATTTATTTCAAAAGTTAAACTTTTATTATTATTAGTGTTATTGTTGTTACTATTACTATTATCATTATTTTATGCAGAAAACATTTGTCTGCTCTGTGTGCTAATCTACTAGCAGCCATTATGATAAGGCTTCAACAGTTTATGACTATTCCTTAGCGTTGCAGGAAGTGCTGAAAGATTATCGAGCTGCGTGGTGGCTTGATTCTTCCATGCGTTTCATCAACAGTGATCTGGAGCAAATGTACGATTATTATAGGTGCAAACACAGGTTTGGAAACACTAACAAATTCGATGTTTGGAATCCTGACAACTCAAGCTTAAATTTGTGCCCATTTTACAGTCAAGATATAAGCAACCTGTATCAGCTTGCGGACACTGCGCAGTGAGAAGTAGCATTGTTTTATTGCAGTAAGCCGAGAGTTAGATTTGACCAGTGCGACAACCTGTCCGTTACTATCCGTTTAATTTTTTCAGTGTTAAATGTACACTGTCATAGCCATTAGCATACTTGTAAGCAACACTAAAAAGAGGGAACCATCGACTACATTACTAGTGAGTACTTCCTGCTGGATTTGCTATCGCTCGAGCTATTTTCAGACACTTGTGCCTTTCTTAACAAATACGAAAGAGCTTTTGACTTCTTTTTTTGAATAGTGTCGCTAAATCTTACAAAATAGCACGAATTTAGAAATGCATATGGTGGCAAGGACTTAGCAGAAGCAGAAATCATGTGCAATAAAGCTGATCTTCTGTTCCACACATATTTGGGTGGCAGCATTTTCGCAACAACTGACCCCGGTTAGAATTTATGCTGCTTATGGAAAACCACATTTATGTAATCCAAATCGTTTAAAGACGAAACTTTTTGTAGTAGAGCACAGGTTCGGAATTCCAAGTTTTTGTTTTAATTACCAGTGGACCAAAAGTTGAGAGTTCAACCTCGCGAGTGCTAGGACATTCGATTCGACCACTCATTCTGATGGCAAATTGGTACTGGTATATTTTATGAAATTAAACCCATCACCAACTTACTTCGGAACAACTCTTTTTGACGGCGGAGCGATTCTCCGCCAGCGGGTGCTTGACAATGGCACCTGCTACCATTAGGACGTAATCATAGTGAATATTTGTGTTTTTTCCGTCCAGCGCCATATCGGTGCTACAGTGCGCAAAGAAAGATACTGTCGAGAAGTCGCCCGTGCGCGAGTGAATTTTGCAAATTTTGCAGTCCTCTTTCAAGTTCCTTCAAATTTGGATTTTTTCGGCGAGCGACCGCTCACCGGAGAACGACTGGACTTCATGCAGAGAACTGATAATCATGCACGCCACGCTGTCCTTTTTATCAGATTCCTTGCGGTTGGCTGCTGGTTTTACATTTCGAACAGCGGAAACACGTGCAGTAATAACTTTTGCAGACACTTATCTTTATTTTCCAAGCGATGTTGAAAAGCTGAAAGATATGACAATGGTGAGAACTAGTGCTATTTTTCTCATTCGTACACGTGACACTGTCGGGATCCTGAAATGGTATGCGTTTCAATCATTTCTGTCTACTTTAAATCCCATTACACTAAGTAGCAAATGCGACACAAAACGTATGGTTAGAATACCAAGTACATAAATACATCTAGTGCACATATATAGGTGTGTAGGTATGCGTGTGTGTCTGTGTCTATGTGTTTTTGCCTTGGTAGAAAAACAAATAAATGGCAACGAGCACCAGACTAGCCGGCGCGATCATGCGTTTTGTGCAATTCAGTCCATCGAACGATTGTCTATTAATGATTTTCAATGCTTTTTACCTTAGTCTATGCAAAAGTAGTTCAAATATTGGGAAACGGTTAGAAATTTCACGCACCAGCGTATGAAAGCTGAATTCGAAACCTTGAACGATGAATATCTTTCCGTGATTCCCGAGCTAACAGTTTACCCGCCAAAACTTTCACGAGGCCGTAGGTGGTACCCGAGATTGCGAGAACGCTGAATTGAATGGGCAAGGTTGAGCGGGGGCAGAGGGTCCTTGCCTAAAATCTCAGCCTCCTAGACTGCGTGGTTCCCGAGATATTAACTTACCCATGAAAAACTTTCACGGGGCCGTACATGTTACCCGCGGGTAATGGAAGGCTGAATTTGAATGGGCAAGGTTGAGGGTGGGCAGGGGGCCACTACCCTAAGACTTCAGTCTCCTAGACTCCGAGGTTCCCGAGATATTAACTTACCCGTGACTTACCCATGGAAGACTTTCACGGGGCCCTACATGTTACCCGCGGGAAAGGGGAAGCTGAATTTGAATGA